AGATGCAAACAATATAGGAAAGAAAGAATCTGAACCCCTACCTCTCACCTTTGACAACAATCAAGTCAAGGGGATCAAAGATCTAAATCTAAGACCTCAAACTATAAAACTGCTACTGAAAAACTCTTGGGAAACTCTGGGAGACATTGGGTTAGGCAAAAACTTCTTAAATTGGACCCTCATAGCACAATCAATAATCCCCAAAATAGACAAGTGGGATTATATCAGACTAAAAGTTTCTGCATGACAAAAGACACAGTAATTAGTGTGAGTAGACAGCCCTCAAAATGGGAAAATATTTTGTAAACTATTCATCAGATAAGGGACTGATAACCAGAATTCACAAGGAACACAAGCAGCTATTCCAAAAAAAAAGACAATCAAGCCTATTAAAAGATGGAGAATGAGTTGAAAAAGCCAATCTCTAAACATGATATACGAATAGCTAAAAGGCATATGGAAAAATGTTCAACATCCCTCATAGTAAGGGAAATACAGATCAAAACAACAGTGAGATACCACCTAACCCCAGTCAGAATGACTAAGATTAAAAAAACAAAAAACAGTAAGTGCTGGGCGGGGGGTGGGCGTGAAAGGGGAACTCTCTTACACTGCTGGTGGGAATGTAAATTGGTCCAGCCACTGTGGAGAACAATTTGGAGATTCTTTAAAAATCTACAAATAGAACTACCATATGATCCAGCAATCCCACTCCTTGGTATCTACCCAAAGGACAGAAAAATACTTAATCAGAAAAGTGCTTGCACATCAATGTTTATTTTGGCACTATTCACAAATGCTAAGTCATGGAAACAACCCAAATGCCCACAAACAGATGAATGGATTGAAAAATTGTGGCACATATACTCGAAGGAATACTATTCAGCCATAAAAAAAAAACAACAAAACCCTGGCTTTTGACAGGAAGTGGATGAATATGGAAGATTTACTGCTGAATGAAGCAAGCCAGGCTATGAAGGAGAGGCATTGAATGTCCCCACTTAATATATACTGAGTGTCCACACTCTATGACTGAAACTAATTGACTAAAGGATATAGAAACACAGTATATAGATGTAAATACCAGATATAGTGTGTGTGAAAGAGGAGGGTCCGAGGAAGGACATTTGGAAGAAAAATAAGGAGGCAAAGCATTAATGACACAAGCGGGGGGTGGGCGTGAAAGGGGAACTCTCTTACACTGCTGGTGGGAATGTAAATTGGTCCAGCCACTGTGGAGAACAATTTGGAGATTCTTTAAAAATCTACAAATAGAACTACCATATGATCCAGCAATCCCACTCCTTGGTATCTACCCAAAGGACAGAAAAATACTTAATCAGAAAAGTGCTTGCACATCAATGTTTATTTTGGCACTATTCACAAATGCTAAGTCATGGAAACAACCCAAATGCCCACAAACAGATGAATGGATTGAAAAATTGTGGCACATATACTCGAAGGAATACTATTCAGCCATAAAAAAAAAACAACAAAACCCTGGCTTTTGACAGGAAGTGGATGAATATGGAAGATTTACTGCTGAATGAAGCAAGCCAGGCTATGAAGGAGAGGCATTGAATGTCCCCACTTAATATATACTGAGTGTCCACACTCTATGAC